TCACGCTTTACTGATGAGTTCTGGGATTTGTGGTTAATTAGGCCACAGTATTCTACCATTGGGAACTGAATTTGAGAACGATCTCAGTGAATCTCATTGACGATTGCCGCACCTCAATTGGCGCTTAACACATTTAATTGTCCTGAGATGTATAAGCAGATAGACTGATTAAGCTTTGAAATGGTGCAGTCCACAGCACTACCACGACTGTCCAGTCGGATCTCACAAGGCCACCAAATACCTTCTAGGAGCATAAAATTCAAGCCACACTATCCCAATCACTATCACACTATCATGGCTGTCTTCTTACCTTTGAAGCATCTACACTAGGTGAGAACTACGCTTACTCAAGGGCTCTTTTTAAAGCATTCCGGGTAGTGGGAGAGACAATTTCAGTGATAGGACAGGAACATCGACTATATGAGCGCACTGCTGAGGAACATGGTGATCGAATTGAAGGTAATCAAAGATGTCGGAGTAAATAAAACGTGAGGCACAGTGATTAAGCTAAGGAAACAACTATTTTGAAACCACAAATCCAATCGAGCACATTTCAAACACAACACAATACAATGCACCAATACCAATAATTAACATAAAAAAGAAAACATTTGATAAGAAAAGTCCAAGTCTTTACAATCGACACCGTTCAAGTACAAATTTGGCATCATCTAACAAATAAAAAGTGGAGGTGTCCATATCAGTGGTTTACCTGCATTTGACATGGCTGATCAAATGGATTCGAAAGGTCCTTCACTAAGGCTGTTGCACGTAAACGCATCCACGCACGCCAGAATTGGAAGGTGCGGTCGTACAACCAGTGCCCAATCCGCCACAAATTGGTGACTCTGACGTGTTGCCAAAGACTGATTTCAAACATTCTGCAGATAAACAATCTCTCACTGGCATCGCGATTTTCTCTTCGTATCCCTCGGTGGTCTTTTTCTGCTCGAATTATCACAATCAACTCCCGTCCGCTGCCGTTACCCACAAAATGTCGAATCCTGACTTCTTCTGCTCAACCGAGACCCGATATCTGAATGGCGACGTGATTGCACTTTGCGTCGCTCTACATACCTGATGGTTCCTCTCCACACTTACGATTAACACATCAACGGCTCTCCTTTCACTCGCTATGCCTCCCTCAGAATGCCTTCATAAACAGGCAAGTCGGAACACGTTGCGATTCAAATTTCAATCTTTACACGAAACTCAAGGACCCTTTAATTTTACAAAATGGAACACATCAGCCGGAACAGGCTACTCTTCGATGACTTCTCTTACAGGTTCCTAACTCAATGCGACATTTCAACCGGCAAGCCAAGGCGAACCGCCAGGCAAGCACACAACGGAAGATTTCGACCGGATTATCGCAACCAAACATCCGTTCAACAAGAAAGTTGATCACTTATCGTTACCTCTGGCGAAACATCCAACAGGACGCTCGTCAGTGAACCAAATACTGTTCCACTCGTCCAGCCGGCAAGGTCCACAAGCGTGAACGAAGACCACTTTGCTACTTCTTCCAACTCCAACTATCCTGCCCCTGCAGTTCTAACACCTGTCCCACCTCTACTCAAAACCCTGTTACACTAAGACCAAAGATCTACCCCCCCCCCTTCAACTGGTTGATTTTGTTCATTAACCATTATTTTTCAAGCGTTCGTTGCATTTCAGCTATCTACAAACGTTCCAGAGGGAGAGCGTTGTGGAACACGTCATCGTTTAACGCTTCATCGCATGCACACAACCAGTGGCCAATAGGAAGCCTTCGTCTGTTTAACCTAATCCGCCATGATGATCATGATTAAGTTCCCTGCGTGTATACTTTTACCCACAATACCCTTACTGAATGAACGTGTTACATGCCATGAGTCTGTATCCTCTATAGCTGGGCTGTAGCTTAGCTAGTTCTGGGAGTCTAGCTAGATGTAGGAGAATCTGCCACAGAGATTACTGAGTCAGTCAGGCTTTACTAGTGTAGCAAATCGCTACAAGGATGTTACGTTCAACGAGATCATAGTTCCCGAAGTCAAAAGTAGCTGCTTCCAATTCGTGTTCCAGAAGTCCAATTCCATCTAAAAGTTAAAGAAATTGAAAAAAAAACAGAAGACGAGAGATAATATATACTAAAGTACAAGATGTACACTTCCCAGCCAACATATTAGTAAGTAGAGGGTAAAATGTCTTTATTTCCCCAACAATAAGGCCCAAGATGCTAATCCGCCAGTCGATGCCGAGCATTGAAACTGATGAGATGACTGCGCAAATGTGACCGTCCGCATAGTGAACTCACTGACTACATGCATAAGGCACAAGTTAGTTATGCCGAATCGTCCTTCACTCCCAAAAAATTAACTTCCAAAACAAATAGTAACAGAAATAGCAAATCGAACATTAAAATTCAAAATGCCATCGTAATTCTCAAAACACACCCTTTTCACAAAATACAAGTATAACCTCTGCGTATACCACCTTTGAAAACAAAGATGGAAAGAAAAGGGTCCATTTAATTTAGGCCGAAAAGGGTTAAATCAGAGGGCGACCCCTCAATTTTCTATCGGCCATATTTAATCCATGACAAAATCCAATGGTTGTTACAAGGCAACTTACACTACAAAACTTTCGAGTCAAAGGACCAATTAGCATGCCTAAAAAATTTAAACTATTCAAACGTTTTAAAATATCACAATTTTGGAAATTAATTGCCGATTGGTTTCTAATTTTAACGAGCTTGATTCGGAATTTTAAAATTTTAATTTTGTTTATTAGCATTAAAAAAGGATCAAACTAAGTTCCTTTATTGGAGCAAACCTCCTTTTATTCATGAATAATCTTAAATAATTTTTCTTTACACCTGTTAGATCAACTGAAATATATAAAGATGGTTAGAAGCTAACTCATAGCAATAAGATAAGAATGCGTCATTTACACCAAATTAATGCAATGAAATCTTAAGAGGTGAAATCGTTTGATATATGTCAGATAAATACATTCATTGGTTTGTATATTCATAAAATTACTTCAGAGGAAACGAGGAGTTAATGCACTCCTTACCGAAGAGGGTTACCCATTTTCTGTTTGACATTTTGATTAAGAAATATGTTCTGGGTTTAAAAATACTAAGAACATGATGACACTTCGCTCAGTCACCCTTACAGTTAGATTCAACTATTGTAAAGTGCTCCAAAATATATGAAAAACCAGGGGTTGTATGATTGTAGAGCGCAAACATATTTTCAAATTTCTTTTTCAATGATTTTCATCTCCCTATATTGCTAACCGGTTGTGTTGTATAGACTTACCTCCACGTGGTGCACCCTGGGCAACGTATACTCATACGGCAAAAAGTCCATAAATCGGCATTTGACTTCTGACTTCAAACTACAGTAGCCCAACTCTATGCCAGTTTTGACTACTTTCACAGTACCCGCCTCACCCTTTTTCTACCTTTTCTACCCTCGTCTTTGAAACACTCTTCTGTCCCGCCCCCTCTCAACTTTTTCACTTTGATGTTCCTTCCCCTCTGTGAAGCCTGAAGTCAACTAAAGGGCTAATGATAGCTATCAAAACCCCTGCCATTTGATATAAATAAATATTGTTAACCGACCATCTGCTTTACTCTAATAAGCACTTACATCGACTCAAACATTAAAAAAATATTCGTGAACTTATTGATAGATAACTCTTGATCTCTACTGGTTTAGTTTTGAGTCATAACCGGTGACTTCGATTATGTTATTCAGTATTTATGGAGGGTAGAGCTCATCTTGAAAGAATTTCACTAAGATTGTTTAGTCAACCTTACTGTAATGTAACGTAATCAAATTAGTTAAAAATCGTTAGGAGTGTTATTTTTTTATATAAACTCTATATTTAAAACTCAAGGTCATAATTTTATGTTCTTTAATGACTTAGCATTATAAAATTTTGTTTTAGCCATATCTCTAATATTTAAAGAGCTGTAGTGAAGTGATATCTATGGGGCAGATATGTTAGAGACAGAAATAGGAATTAATACAAATGCAACAGCAGAGAAGTGGATATTATACAAGATTATTAACGTTTGTGATCTAAGCAAATATAACAAAATGATGGCGTATTATCTGAAAATATGCGAGGATGTTTTTTAACAGTTACTCAAATCTAATTTTCTTAAAACCATTATAGGAAGCCTTATACTGTTAAGTAAAATTACTGGTTTACATAATGTTTCTGATCAAAGATTAATCCAATTACTTACTACTGATTAGTAGTTGCTACTTCTCTATGCCTTCTGTTCCTAGCTAAAAGTCCTTTCTTATGAAAAAATTGATTTTGAAGGGGGTTAATTACATCTTTAATTGGCACTATTGACAAAATGATAGATTCATCTGTTAATTTATTTCACTGCAGGATTTTGATGAAGGGTGTAGAGCAGTTCCTAAATACTTTGTGGTCTGAATTTTAATAAATTTTATAGTTTTTCTTGCAATAGAATAGTTAATTAACAAAATAACATAAATTTGCTAAATTGAAAATAGGATATGAAATATTAAGTAGTTATTTTTATTGATGTCTACTAATATCAACTTAAAAATGAGTTAGAATCTACAAAATACACAATTAGATTGGCCAGTGGAATTTCTCAAAATTATCATTGTATGAATTGAATATTGGAAATAAATGTCAGATTGAACTTCTGGCTCCCCTTAAAAAGCTATGTTATATTATCTACATATGGTAGGTAAAAGTGACCGCAAAAAATTTACGAGAATGCAAGCCTGTAGGTAAGGCTATAATAAAAATTATAAATTTTTATTGTGTAGCCTTACAAAATTGGCTACAATTATATTATGAGATATGATTATCATTATATTATTTTACAATGTTTTCACCTTTTCTTGACTTGAATAAATATTAATCAGTAAAAACAAATATTCAGGAAATTAATTAAATACGGGTTTGACCAATGCTGCTTGCCTCCTGTTTTGTGCATATTGTCTTTGCTGTCTTACGCGATGGTAACTTTTGTATATGATTGTCATTCCTTTAGTCGGCAATATTTAATTTTCAAAGCCTTTTGACTGTTATTATTCTCCTCATTTGCACTTGCACATATGTTCGTGCATTAAAACCTGAATTTCTCGATCGCTATAAGACGGGGTATGACATATTTATCTCTACTTATTTATAGATTTTCTGGGACTTTTTGGAAATGCGCCAGAGTAGGCGAGCGCAAAAGCCCTTATATTGCTTTCTGTTGTCTTATCCTTGCTTTCTTCATCCTTGTTAATAGTTAGTTTCGTTAATTTTCAATAAAGCATTTGCTTGCATTACTATCTTCTGGCTTGTTGTATAAAGCCTCAACCGCATACCTAGGTACCTTATCACTTTTAGCGTGTGATGATTCCGACGGTAGTAGCGAGATCTCTGCGTCCGGTTTTGCGCACTGTATCTCGTCGTGGTTCAACGAAAATGCCTGATCCCTACCGCGAATCCTATTCTCTTCTCAGAGATCCCGTTCCTGTTGGGGGATTCTTCTTGGTCGCTGCTCCTCTCGCTTGGATGTTCTATGATATGGCTTTCCAACCTGATAAAGAAATTGAACCAAAATAATCTTCACATGTGTAGCCTTTATATTTAGCCCATAAAAGATAGCGTATCAAATCCGACTTTTGTTGATTGCTTGCAGTGATTGTTACGAAATGTATTTATTAATTTATTTCCTAGACATGTTTCGTTTAATATCAAGCGGTGTCAGGAACCTCTTAAATTCTTCGCGTGCCCGACTGGCTCTTTCGAATCACAGGTTTAGTTGTTTAGCAGAGCCCCCTTCAAAACCCAATGAACGACATAGTGGGCCAATGTATACAGTCACTCGTGAGGCTTCGAGTAAACGCTTTTCTAAAGAAGCTTGCTACGCTTTTGCCCTTGGGTTTGGTATTCTTGGCTCAGTGTTGGCTCTGAATGGTTTTATTTACTATTGGGATAACAGATATGCTGATCCCGGTGCTCATCCGATTTACGAAAAGTTTGGTCAATTTCAATTTTTTTTTATTTGATAAAAATCATGCCTAATTTTATTGCTATTGATTTTAGAAAACCTCCGGCTAAACCTGTCCAAGAGCCAATCCTAAGTAAGTCTATGCTTTCAATTTAAATGTTAAAGCTTTAGAAAATAATTTCGTGCTTCATTGCTGGTTTGTTGTTGATGCTATTATTAAAAGTTAAATTACCTGTTATCGTAGAAAACTACTGTTTGTATATGAATTTTACATTCAGATTTGAAAAGCCTAGAGTTCTTTTTTAATGTCACTTTTGTTTAGATTGAAGATTATTTTTGGTATTTGGGCGACTGGGCACTTTAAATGCATGCCCTAATTTTCTTGAGAAGAGAATGATGCATTTAATTGGAGGTATCCAAACTTGGGTATTTTGTGTAGCCATGGACCTATTAATTGTTAATATCACTGAAATCAGCATGTGGTTCTGTTATCCTTATTTGGTCAATCCACCTTGGCTAACTCTTAGCTTGATTAATTGCAAAATTTCGGACTGCTGATTGTCTTTAACATTCACGGCTGCTCTAATTATTGAATGTGGTGTACTACATGAATAGAGTTTGTTGATGTGGATTTATATTAAGAACTAGCTATAGTACGGTGTACACTTGAAACAGCTTAATTGCATTTCTCGAGCTAATGGTTTTTAGACCGAAATCACATTTGGGAATTGAAGTTGTCTATGCATTTTACGCTCACTTCGTTCTTAATCGATTAGCGATACTTCGAAATATTTCGTCAAGATAGTACTTTATGTCGTAAGAGAATATTTAAACCCGCCAGTGATATAATAGAGAATTATATTCGTATAGCTTAAGAAATGAAACAAGTTAAGAGATTGATTTGCTGGCCAATCAAATTTACGGTCTCCAAGTTTAAAAACTTTAGTGATACATTGGCCAATCGGTAGTCCTGGGTAGGTAGACTCTACAACATGTTCTTCCGTGGCTACCTAGTGATGTATGTTCACCAATTGTACTTATTAATACTTGTATGTGAGAGGGTTAATCAAATGTCAGTTTGCGAACGCGTTCTATAATGGGGACTTTTGTTTTCATTTCTTTAACCTTTTTTTTGCGTCAGCACGGTGATATTATCTAAATGTAGATCGGTTGTTTCTAAGTATATTCCCACCTACTTACTCTTTTGCCAGAATTGGTTTCCCATAACAGACCTTTGATTCACTTTATGCCTGTGTCTACAACAGGTGTGTTCTTGCTATCGACACTTCATAATATTCAGTTACCAATTATTGTTCCTACTGGCGAGCTGGACTTACATGCGTCTATTTTTTAGAGGATCACGTTATTTGAACACTTCAGAGTAGTTTATCCTGCTGAAAGAATGAAGATTTCCATTTCATTAACCCCAGTAATTTTCCGATTCGGAGGTTCTGGTCCTGGGACCGTCGATTTGTGATTATAATTGAAGTTGCGTTTGTTACCGCTTATGTCCTTATAGCCTCAATGGGTTTGACCTTAATAATTCCATTCACTTTAATCTGAACCAAAATAAGTTCTTGGCTCTCATAGTTAACGATCTTAATTGGTTGACATTTTCATTTTCCACCGTTCCACATACGAATTTATGTTCGCTTGATAATAAAGTCAAGGTATGCCCGAAGTGCCCGATTTCGCAAGTTTTTGATTTTACTGAACTACAAGTTGTTGCAGACTGCCAATAATAAATGGTAACGAAGTCTGTGGGATGATGCGAACTTTTTACGAATTAACATTTTCATTAGCCAGCTCTTAAGTCAGGAACTGTGTTAGTTTACACATTTTTCTTCTTACCTACAGGTCTGTTAGATTGAATTCGCTTGTGATGCTAACCAGATCCTCTACCTATTTTTTGTTTTAGCACCATCACCTGTTGACAATGAGACTCCCAAATTATCGGAGGAATCAACCATGCCAAATCCCAAAACACCTACCTACAAGCTTCCCCTTCACGTAAAACATGTAATAATTGGGGCGGGGGCAACAGGAATGTCTGCTGCTCGTGCAATTCGTTCCGCTGATCCTTTGGCTAAAATTCTTCTGGTTGCTGGGGACTCAACTTGTGGTGAGGACCTCATTGAAGTTGTTGGAGAAGACGGAGAGATAATGGCCTACCCACCTCCCTATGTCCGACCAGTTTTGAGTGGGGGTTTGTGGTGGAGGTCTCCGGAAAGGCGCAAAGTTATGCTCAATCCCGGTGGTGACATCCGAACGCATTCCTGGTTCTTCTATGAACCTCTGAGTTTCTTCATTGATCCGGAGGCGTGAGTCAGAAATTTCTTTGCTTGCATCTACTAAATATAGATCAGTACAGAACATCACTTTTAATGTGCCCTATCCCATTAAGAAACAGTGAAGCATTGACTGGTTTGTTACTTTTTATTTTGTTCCGATCATTTCCCTGACTTCCATATAACTCATTCCAACATCAAATAACGTTCCATACTACAAATCCCAGTTTTCACAGTAAAATACAACTGAGTTACATCTTTACACGTCATAGGCAGCGAGGATCATGCTTTTAATACCCGTTCCAAAAAAAGCTCGTTTATATTGGCTTAAGGATGCCCTTTGCTTTTCTTTTGTGCTAAACCGGTCAAAGGTTGCACATTTGTGAAAACGACCCGACAGCAGTATTTATTCGGATGTTAAGCTTTAGTAAAAAATTCAACTAATATACTCAACTCATGGCTAATTTGAAGGTCTTTGACTAGTTGAGTTGAATTATACTAATTGGACATGTTTTATAACCCCCACCCCCTGTTTCTATGACAAAGAATTGATCAGTTGCGTAATTCAATTGACCTTATGCGCTTTTCTTAATGTTTTCAATATAGGTAGTACTTATTGCGTAGTAGCAATGGCTGCAAATTTCTCTCACGTGTACGTTCAATTCTTATTTTCAATTTTATATTTTCCTACTTACTATCTATTAGTAGGGATAATTATCTAGGCTATATCAGTGAAGCATCTTTCTGATTTGCTGATATTAACCTTGCAATTGGATAAATTCTCAACGATTTTCTGATCTTTTATTCAGCTCCTGTATTATCTTGATATTGCTAAAATTAGTTTTTTGCTTATCTTTACGGGTTCTGCACTTTCAAAATTTCTTTTTTGTTAATTTGAAATTCAATATTTGCCCCGATATTTTCCTTGATTGCATTCATTATTCTATATCAATTGAATACCCCTTCCAGCCTATTAGGATTTTTTCTAATTGAAATGAGCTTTTAGACAAGTTATATGTTATAAAACACTGCCAATTCATTAAACTATGTGAGGACGGAATAAAACTTCTCTTCTCTGCAAAGAATACCCCGCCAATTGACTTTATGCTTTCCATCTGGAGAAATCGTAATTAGGGATAAATTTTTTGTATCCCGATTGCAGAAAATTTAAATTACAATTGCTAAACCTTCTTCGGTATTATTTCCATTTGTGTAATGTATTGTGTGACTTATTGAGTCAATTTACTTTAGCCGAGTTGAAAAGACTTAAAATATTTATACATTTATATAAATTGAACTATTGAACTCGAGTTCTAATTTACTACTCTGGTCAAAATTTTGTAGAGGAAACGGCCCTCCCTGTTTCATTAATATAATCGTAAGACACTCAACTGGCATCAAATAAATCCAATCGCGCCTTGTTAGAACTCTCAATCCCTATTTTCACCGAAAATGATTGAGATATCCGCTTGTTCAAGCAGTATGATTTATATCAGCCATACAAACAATCATAGTTACTCTTATTTTAACTTGACTCTGTGGTTAACATCATTTATTTTAATCACCGCAATTTAAATCGCATTTATATTTCTATTCTCAAAGTGCTGTGCATAGGATGATCTATGTGTTAATCAGTCTCAGGTCATTCTCAATTTCCCTGCTCACTTTCTTCTTGCTTCAAACCTAGTAACTTCATCTTCGTCCTCACGAGTTTACGTTTTTTTTTGAGTTATGGTTTCGCGAACTTGATATTCTTTTCTACTTATTTTTTGTTAGTACAATAAGTTAAATACAGACTTCCATGAACTCATTTCTCTCTAGTTTGTGCTTTTTTTGGGAAAACAGTGACTGGAACTCAAGGGATTAAACCTTAGGATGTCAAATTCGATCAAATGTCAGCCAGTAATCCACTCATTTCAGCGACGAAGGGGGTTTTCTTAAATCGTGTTACAGCACTTCCTTGCTATTGTTTTGAAACCTCCAGCTGTGGATTATTTTCGCTTTAATGATGCTAATTAACTGCTCTGTTTTTCACATAATATCAAATTAGCATATGAATAGTTTTTTTTATCTTATATTCTTGAGGGTTTTGCGTTGCCTTACCAGATCAAGAAATGCACTCCTTAAAGTATAGTTTATGCCCTCTAAACTTATTTATATGGCTTAGAGCGACTACGCCTCAAAAGATGAGATTTGCAATTTTAAAATGAATGCCTGAATGATTGAAACAAAGTCAGATCATTGGGACAGCAAATCGTAGGCCTTAGCAATTTCTTAAATCCTTATTGTATCTGATCTCTTATCTAGACTTGGAGAAACGCAGGAGGGTGGAATCTGCCTTCTTCGTGGAAACCCCGTTGTCTCTCTTAACCCCGAACGTCATTCCGTCACCTTAGCCGACGGTCAAGAGGTGAAATTCGATTGTTGTCTCCTAGCGACGGGTGTTCAACCTATCACTGTACCGGAGCTTCAACATTGTTCCGTTAGTGGTACTGATTTGGTCTCCAACAAGCGCATCACATACTTCAGAAACATCGCCGATTATAAGTTAGTTTTCTTTTAATAATATACCCCAAAATGTGCCTTATAAGAAAACGTCGAAGCTACAAATCTTCTATAATGTTCGAGCCATACATTGCTTTGTGAATTAGTTCTGCATGAAAGGAATAAGTTGAGGCACCTGCTCTTAGCAAATCAAACTTTCCTACACTGATTTATGGGTTATCAGACATTGTCGTGCTTGTATTTGCTAATTCAAACTCTGTTTGCTGCCGTAGTTGCCAACTAATCAAGCTGTAATGTATTGGAGACAACGAGCAAACTATGCAAATGTTACTCAGATATTGCATATCTTATCCAGACAGCATTTCATTGCTTTGAGCCTATTTCTGATGATTAGATGTACTTCATGCACTTAAGGGAAGGAGGACGTTAATTATGTTCAAGTCACTACGTGTTAAATTCGTCCCATTTGGTAGCTCGGATATCACGTAGGCAACTTACAGCTTTCTTGTATCTAGTATCAGCAAGTGTATCCATATGAAAATGGTATGAACTCTCGCTCTGGTTCTAAGTTACTGTAGTAACATCCTTACAGAACAATGTACTGTTGAAATACATTTATCACATTATGAATCATTATCCTAATTGCTCGACTTAATTTTTTGGTTGTTCCTTAGACGAGCACAAAATTCGAAGCGGTCAACTCTAATTTTACTTTGATCTCTCTATTATTTTCTCGTTTCCTCTTCCTCAACGCTGTTGCCTATATTTTGTTCTTCTAATTCTAAATTCGACTTTTCTCTCATTGGTTGCTTGGGTCATTTTTCAGGTATCTTCAGTCAGTTTCTGACAAACTTCACAAGAATGGTGGTAGAATAGCAGTTTTTGGAAGTGGTGCTTTGGCTTGTGAACTCGCTTCAAGTCTTTTGGAGAATCGTCGACTCAGCGAGGGGGAGAAGGCTTCGGAAAATTCCTCATCTAATGACTCTTCTGATTTCCACATTCATCACTTCCTCAGCATCGATGTCGTTCATCCAATGTCTGAGATCCTTCCTCCGATTCTTGCCCAGAGCCTCGCTAATTATGAAATTGAAGGAGGTATTCACCTTGAAGCCAATCAATCCGTTGTCCGCGCTTCTTTGATTGATCCTAGTAACCCCAATGAATCCAAGATCCGTCTCTCTATTAGTAAACGCGAGGAAAATGGAACGATTACTCATGATCATGAGTTGATTGTTGATCACGTGGTCTGCGCCCTTGGAAATACCCCAAGAGTCGATCTTGCCGCTTCAGCAGGCCTTGAAGTTGATCCGAGAAACGGAGGTTTCTTGGTGAACAGCGAGATGGAGTCCCGACAAGACATTTATGCTGCCGGTTCTGTAGCGTCTTTCTGGGATGCTAATTTAGAGTCTAGACGGCGTGTTGACCACATTAGTGTGTCAGAAGATACTGGTGAACTGGCTGGTCTCAACATGGCTCGTTCTGCAAATTATAATAATTCTGAGGTGAAAGAAAAACTACAAGAGGTAATGATTACAGATAACTACGATCCTCTGCCATTTGCTCGAAAATACCAATCTGATATCTGGTTCAACATTTCGAAAGACGCTAGATTCGACAGCGTAGGTCTAATTGACTCTGTGAATCTTCTCACTCGAACTGTTTTCCTGAAGGAATCTACTCATAGTGCTTTGGTATTCTACCTTCATCCGAACAGTCACCGACTCATGGGAGTATTGTTATGGAACCTGAAGGATGAGTTCTTTACTGATAACGATTATGCAGCTCCAGGGAGACTTAATCTTGCTCGCAAAATGCTTTCAGATCATCTGGTTCTTTCAGACGATTCCTCAATCATTGAATGCGCAAAACAATTCGATCTTCCTGGTGAAATCGCCGAGTCTTATGCGGAATTGAAAACACTCATTGAATTAAAGAGGGAAGAAGAATTGGTTAAAGAGTTGGAGGACGGACAAGCTACTTCTTCCGCCTCTACTATCGAAGAACCAACAGTCGTGTCTTCTACCACCACATATGGCGCTGATGACGTACCGAAGGTTGCAATCCCTGTTACTAAGACCCCAGAGGAGAAAGTTGTCGTAGATGCCAAATCGGTCCTGTAGAATATCTCTGAAATCTTTACCCCTACATATATTCCCCTTTGAAATCTACCTCTGAGGCTTCTTTTTGTGTATAGTGTCTACTTTTATAACGAAATAACGAAAAAATAGTTGATTTAACTATTCTTCCGCCTTTTCATTCGGTGCTCTTCATTGGTAAAAGTTTGCATGTGTGTTTAAGCTTATTTCCATTAAACTAGGAGGGAAAACTGAAAGGTGACACATCTGTGGAAGGCGAAGAACAGACGTTGAAGATGAAAGTAAGTTAGAATTTGGTTAAATTAGTTATAATTTTCACCGTGCTGTGCCGAAAGTTTTATAATGCTTAGGTGTATGTCAGGTAAAATAATCCAATACCTATTTAAGGAGAATGAATTCATTTAATATCAAAAGTGTATTCAGGTAAACGAAATAGCCGAGCTAAAATAAATGTTTGAATTCTGACTGTTCATTCTTGGTTTATGGCTGTAGTTCAGGGTTTCATGTGGCATTTTTCAAGGTCTTTGGGGTTTCGGTGTGTTTTCGTATCAACGGCTTCTGTGGTTTATTACTCATTCGATTAACTGGAATTGCTGATCAGGCCATTTTAATTCGACCTGCTTCTAAAGCCAAAATATGAATGGAGTGATATAAATACTCAGTAATTCCAATATCTTCAAACTTCATGTAATTGGATTCTTAATTTTATTAAGTTGTGCATGCATACTTGCTACCCTATAGAAAATACGATATGACAATTTTGCAATTCTTCTGACCGTACTCTTTGAAGGCTTCTTGGACTTTTATTTTAGCTCCTAATTGAAGATGATTTATTTATTTCAAATGGCAGGGGTTATGATAGGTATCATTAGTCCTTTAGTTGACTTTGGGCTTCACAGAAAGGAAGATGAACATCCAAGTGGTAAAAAGTCGAGAGGGGGACAGAATAATGATTCAGAGACGTAAAAGAGACAGACAGACACAAAGGTAGAAAAAAGGTGAGGTGAATACTGTGGAAGGGGTCGAATATGAAATGTAATGGTAGTTTGAAGTCAGAAGTCAACTGCGGATTAGTAGACTTTTTTGCCGTATGAGTATACGTTGCCCAGGGTGTACCACGTGGAGGTAAGTCTATCGCACACCCTCTAATTGAAGATGATAAAGCGGTTAAATTTAGATTTGATTTCATGTTTTCCCTTTTTCGTCTCCTCTAGATTAATAACTGGATGACAGTAGGTACATGGAAGTGGAATACAAACGATAGCACTTGTGGAATCTGTCGAAATGCTTTCGAAGCCTGTTGTCCAGATTGCAAAAGTCCCGGTGACGAGTGTTCTATCATTCAGGGAACTTGCACCCACTTCTTCCATATGCATTGCATTTTCAACTGGCTACATGCCCGTCAGAACGCCCCCACTTGTCCTCTTTGTCGTCAGGATTGGAAATTTGTTGAATAAGAAATATTTTGTTGTAGGGTCATCTCATGAGTTTGGGATTTTGTGGGTTTCCACCCTTGTGCCGTCACTTTCGTTATGCTGAAGGCGCTTATAATCGTCGCTCTCACTTGGCCGTGTTGGATTGTGTGTGTGCGTGTGTGTGTGTGTGGAGGAGGGGGGTGGGGGGGGGGGTTATGCTTTCCGAATTTCACAGGCGGGATTATCGCATGCCATTGTTCGCCGCTTTGTGGCAGGGTAACTTATTCGTGAGCCCAAAGGGAAAAAAATTAATCATTTTGAGGATTTCGGAATCATTAAAGGTTCATATCATATGTGGCCTCATGTTAATGACTAATATAGTCACCAAAGTCACTAAAACTATAGATTTTTATATTTACACGAACTAAATTACTACACGAGCTCGATGTGTGGAGCAATTTTAATCTTGAGGGATCACACTAGAGAGTCGAACCAAATAAGTCAATATTAGATAGCGGAGTAGAATACCTGTAAAATCGGAAAGCGAATTTCATTCCGAGGTGGGAAATAACCAGAGAGCTAGATCTTTTTAGACGCTGAATTCGAACCATTCTTTACTAAGCTCTTTCACAAATTGACTTTGTTGGGTTGTTAATTTAATATTTTTCTAATCTACAAGCAATTAGTATCATCTTGAATTGGTTATGTCTGTTTATACAACGCTTGAAAAGCATAAAATAGCAAATTAGAAATTCAATTTTTCGCACACAAATTAGCACAGGTTTTTTCAGCTTTGAATGTCAACCAAATGATTAGATTTGAATCTTTTGCCTAAGCTCTTCCTTGGTATATGCTTTTATAATTAAGCGGCTGATCACACTGGTTGAATCTGATTAACACAGGAAAGGTGTGATTATTGACTATGAACTTCTTTTTTTCGCTTACATTTATAATTCAAATATTCTAACCAAGACAATCGCTGAAATTAGACAACCAAATTTAAGACATTTTACCAAATGCTGAGTTGTGTACATTTAAACCGCTAGTCGCTGTATTTATCTGCGATTAGAGCTCCCATTACTCTAACAACTTAATTCCTTTCCACTATCTATGATAATGGCGTCAGAGTGCATTCGTCTGATGCACTTTATCTGATGAGTTCTACTCTTTTCTCATTAATAGGGTAAATTATTTGGATACTGTTGGTTCAAACTATCTTAGTCGTGGTTCTGTTAAAATTATCAAGGAGGAAAGGATGGTTTTCAGTTACAATCCAAACGGATTGAAAAATAATAAACCTTTGCGGTCGGTGGTAATATCAGTGGCATTTATTTCTAAATTCACTATGGTTTTCATGCAAGCTCAATGCGTGAATAATAGACTATTATAAGTTTGTTTATACGGGGTACTAAAAGATTCCAACTCCACCTCGTCGTGTCAATACTAGATGTGATGATTGGGGATTTTTGAGCCTATTCCATTCATCCAATATGGGGAGATAATTGAATTTCAAGAGTTTGTTTATTAAATTAGGACCATTTTTTAAAAAGATGGTGAAAACGGTTAGAACACTACACTTGACAAATCGTGAGAACTGTCATGCCAATGTTGCCAACCACGCTATATGGGTTTTATTATCTTCATGAAAAAGGGGTACGCGATAAATTTGCCATCAACTGGTGCACCTTGGGTAACGTATATCCATACGCCTATTAATTTCTCACTTCAAAATATCATGATCCCATTCTGTGTCATATTCCACCACTTCCACAGTACTCACCTTATCTTTTTCTCTACCTCTGTGTCTGTCTCTTTTTCACCTGTGAATCACTCTTCTATTCCACCACCCCTCGATTTTTTGTGCCTTTGATGTTTCTCCCCTCTGTGAAACCGAAATCAACATAAGAGCTAATGACAGGTACCATAAAGCCTGTCATTTGAAATAAAAATTAAATCTTCATGAAAAAATGGAGGAATTATTTATTAAAATGAGGTTTTTCAGTGTCACAATAAAAAATTTAGCAATTTGAAAATCATGTTTTTGAGGCCTTGTTAACACAAAGACAGGCTCTGAATGAATTTATAACAGCAGAGATAAATCAAATAGTAATAATCGATTTTCAAATCACCAGTTTGAATAAACATTCTGCTTAAAATATCAATATCCATTTAGAAGGAAAACAGCATTTTACTCACGGTTTCTTATTTTACATCGTAAATTCTGTTGCTATTTAACTTTGCAAACACATAGTAAATGGAAGGCATCAAGCAATTAATATTACTGAATGTAAAGTTTAATAAAATTATTCTGTAAATATTAGCGTTTGACCAAAAACATAGCAAGTCAAAATAGGAAAATCTAGAACATCAGAACGCAAAGGAGGTGATGAAAGTTGCATTTCCTCTCGCCAGTGAATCAGAATTTAAAGACTCTGTCTTCCTTTTTCAAGTTAGTATTATTGGTCATTAGATTGCTTATGCTCGTTTCAGTATACGAAATATGAATAATTAGAACTTTGGAATGAATGTGCATGTTAGATCAATTTTAAGTAAATTTAATTTCACTTTTGGTTTTCTGCTTTCCATTTACGTCCCCTTGGGAGAGAGTGCGATAAATAGAATAGATATGTAATTCTCGAGAATACAGACACAAATTACTCTGTACTAAGGCGAGGAGAGAGAGAGCAATAACGAGTAAGAACTAGGAAGAGTAAGGAGAAACGGAATTGTTTGCAATACTGCCCTGCCCTTGGGCGTAGCTCTTGTCTAATCAGAATTTAATGGAATTACCGGCAAGCAGGGAGAGCGAGAGAGGGAGAGGGTGAGAACCAAGTACTGGAGGGCAATTTGCGCGATGTTACTGGCGTGGTCTGTCATTGCAATGGCAATGGCCTATTAATTCCACTTTACCCCCCCCCCCCCCCCCCCCCCCCCCCCCCGCCCTCTAGTCTCGCCCTCTCATCCCTTCTCAAATTGCAGCTGCCATACTCGGCTTCCTTCTTCCCTAATCCTACCAAAAATCTGTTTTTCTCTTGATTGCAAATGATTGCCATAGGGACGCTGTCTATTGCTGTACTGCCGTTGTGCCTTTTGCAGGGTGCTTGCCAAAAGGCAAACTGGCGCTAGTACAAATTAGAAGCAGTCTAAAGTCTTGTAGGATTCATCAGAAGTCATGTAACAGCGTGAATTAATAAAAAAATGAAAATTCAAAATGGAGGAATTAATGCCTAGACTTCAAAAGAATTTAACAAATTCTACGTTTTTTACAGTTACGTCCAACATTCACTTCCTCATTTTAAGAATTTAAATTTGTGGACTTGTCCCCTGGTTACTGGCTGATCGATAGTTTAAGAAGGAAATTTACTACATATCTAACTTCTGCGTGAAATTTTGCTAGACTGAAGTGAATTCGACTTGAGCTACAAAAGTACAGTAATCAAGCGAATTACCACACGGCTTTAGTTAAATGTGCTCAAGTATTCGAAAACGCTTCGAGGCAAAAAATGGGCAACAGGTATATAGTTCTTACATTTTGTGGGAAAAGGTTTCTGACCAGAAGTTACCCCATCAAATTTTCCGTTCTTCGAGGCTTATTCATATTTATATTTAAATATTTGACTTTGAGGTAAAGATTATATTTATTGATATTTTCAACGAGGGCTAATGATAAATATCAGATAAGCTGCCATTTGATTATAATAAATATTTTCAATTATTATATCGACCTGTGATAACCACTTATGTTAGGAACTTATCTATTTGCACAGTTGATGCTTAAACACCTAAAGATAATATATTGTGGCGTACACAATCCGCACACAACAAAATGCTCTCCCGAACGTTTTGGAATGCGCGGTCGTATGTGCAGAGCAGTGCTCAGATATTTTGCGCGATAGACTTACCTCCACGTGGTGCACCCTGGGAAACGTTTACTCATACGGCAAAAAAGCCTATTAACCGGTAGTTGACTTCTTACTTCAAACTACCACTTAAACAGTACTCATCTTACCTTTCATCTGCATTTGTGTCCGTCTGTCTCTTTTTATCTGTGAATCACTCTTCTTTCCCTCCTCTCGAATTTTTCCCAATATGATGTTCCTCCCCTCTGCGAAATCTGAAGTCAACTAAAGAGCTAACGATAACCATCAAAACGCCTGCCATTTGATATAGATAAATAAATGAATATTTTGCTATTAGTGTTCACTCAAGTTATGATCCATTTATTTGAGAACTAATTACTTTTACCAAGAGACACTTCCCTGCCATACGAATGTTCCCTCAATAGCGGGGGTGTAGCTTAGCTGGTTCTGGGAGTCTAGCTAGATGTAGGGGAATCTGCCACAGAGATTTCTGAATTAGTCAAAGCTTTACTAATGTAGCAATCCGCTACAATATTTACTTCTGCCCAAATATGCAAATAAGAAATTCCAATCAATCTGTCTTCTCTTCAATTGTTTTTGATATTTTTAATTTCTAATGATATTCAATAATTGAAAAGGGATTTAGGATTTTCAGCAAATGGTCTTATGACGTTCACAAAGTATTTATGATTCTTATTTGTTGGAAGTTGTTAGTACGATTGACGTCAAAATTATTAAAAATGGGCACACCAAATCCATTGAAGTTTCGCCCTCTAAACATGTCATGGTTCGCACAAGTAGCATTTTAGGAAAAGGGTTTCTTTCTCATGAATTTCAATAACTTGAACTAATATAGATAGATCAGTGTCGAAGTGTTCAGTGTAAATGCTTAATAAGCTGCAACATGGCCGACAGTTTGAGAGGATTAAACTTGACACGAATGAACGATACTGGGGCTTTTCTTGTCATATTGAAAACATTTTATAATATTTTTTGGATAAAGCTTAGCGCTTGAATCCGTTCGAAAACAAATTTCACCAGATTCCAACTTTCATTTTACATCCTTGAAATTTCATTAAAATCAGCTGTAGGTCACTTAGAGAAGTATTAATTACGTTTAAGCTGAGTGCCATTTGTACTAGCATATGAGGTTTTATCTTATCTCTTACAGGAATGAACCAG